TTGTTTCTTGATCCTCTATGAGGCACTCTCTGGGACGCAAACGTATGGTAACTCGTTTACTGACCATGAAACTGTGAATTTCTGGTGTTACCCATAACACCGAGGTGTGAATTTGAACGCGACAAAATGCGTCTTGCCAAATGTCAGAGAATGTCTCCTGCCTCGTCGCTTGACGGTGCTTCCTCCCGCGTTTTTGTTGTTTCCCTGTACCTTGCTACTGTTAGCGACGCCTCGAGTAGTACTAAAGGCAGTAGTAGTAGTAGTAGTATGGTCTCACTCGTATTTCGGTTCCGTCGTTTAAATCGTCGTCGTATACACGTCTTTTTGCGTACTTGCCTATGCGTCTTTGTACTTGTCGTCATTCATCGAACGAGCTAACCGGTTATTGTTACGACTTTGTCCGTCCGTCGATTTGTGACCACTGCTGCGATTCAGTTAAGAATTCACTCTGACCGTTACGATCGACTGATACTGCCATCCCATCCGCAGCATACGACAATCAGAAACGCCAGCTTGCCGAATACTTAAAGAAGCAACAAGATCGCGAAGCATACTATGAAGACCAAGTGTAATGGACGAGGCGGAGCCCAACGTTGTAGGAGTGGAAACTGTTGTGCCAGGCTGTTTTGTGTCGAACAGACGGGCGGACAATCTGACTGGACGAAAACGATCTGCTGAAATCCGTTTGCAGATTTTTGTCGCCTGTTTGTGCGGCCGCCAAATCGGCTCTTTGCACCGAGTTTTCTTTTGGAATAGTGCCATTCTCGCAACGACTAACAAGAAATACTGGAAAAATATCCGAATATGCATATGTGCATGTAATACATTCGACGGATCTGTCGTGTTGCGGCACAAATCAGAGCAAGCCAGAGCTGAACTTCTACTGACGATTTTAAAAGAGAAATAAGAGCAGCATCGACCCATCGAGAAAGCATCACCCGTCACGTTGATAGAGTAATGCTAGAAGAGGTTCAGCCACTTGTGGGCCGGTTACCCTCTAGCCTTAGTCCAACTCTCCTATTCCATCAGCCGTTGGCTGATCGGTCTATGAGGGTTCTAATTAAGAAACAGTAGATAACTTTCTCCTTTACGTATACGACAACCCTTTTATGCTACACACTTTAGATACGTAGCTACAGGTGCAACTGATATTTTTTTTATTGATCGCCGACTAAACGGATGTTTTGACCAGTTATTGGTCTTCGACATTGCTTCAAACGATCGACCGTTAGAACGAAACGAAATGTGCCTACGCTCTATTTCAAACTCACGGCCTTTCATGTGTTCCTAAAATTAGGGGTCACTTACTGAGGCATGCTATTTTGATTTAAATTAGCATGAATGTATATGGCCGCCATGTCGGATCAACAGCTTATTGTAGGTGCTACATTTGTGCTGACGCTAATTCCATTGCAATAAAGTGTATATTAAACAATGCTGGTGCTTCGAATGGCCCAGAACGTGTTCGGCTTGAGCTAAACAAAAACCGGTGGGTGTTCGAGGGCATTGACAGAAATGTCTATCTTTTTAGGTATTCATACGAAATTTCTGTTTGTATTAGTGCTAAAATCAAATATACACTATACCAAAGAGGACTAAGCATATATTCGCTTTTGGTTAAGGGTTCCGTTGCTGTACAAACGGATAGCGGATTACAGCCAATGAGCCGATTAGCTCCGACTTGGCCATTAATGACGCGAGTCAAAACGGATGAGTGAAAGCCTATTGTAAACACTGGATAGAAAAAGACGAACGAATCATCAAACAGTGTCCTTATTTGCTACATTGCCAAATTCGTCCTGTCGCCTCCGCATGGTCTCGACTTCGACTGGTCCGACACCGTCATAGTTAATCAGATTTCAATGTACAGTACATAATGGTATCGCCTTCTAAGCCAACTTATTTCAGTCACGGATTTCACTATTTTGAGAAGGGTCGCTCCCGCCTGTGTACCGTACAGGTCAGGAAAAAAAACAAGTGATTACGGAAATGGCCGAAACCAGCTTTTCTTAGTCCATTGCTTATTAATACGAGTAGAGTCACTTTCATATAAATACTATGTTGAATATGAGCGGGCCAAGTTATGAGCTATTTCTAATAAGGGTCGACAAGTCGAGCCTTTGTGCCTACGTGCACAAGTATACAGAATAAATGCCATAGTATATGTGTCGTAACAACTGTCCAATAGAACATGATACAATTAGTTGAATACGTACGCAAAAATGATGAAACCTTTGAGTAACGATTCTGCACGATGGCGTCAATCGAGAAACATAATGGTCACAAGTCCTTTATGCACGATACTTAAGCTGTTAGGCATTACTTCACACTGGTTTTTCTGGATCTGGCTGGGGTTTTTTTTCCAAAAAATCCACAAAATGACACGGTAATGGTAAAAACCATAGAAACTATTTGAAACAGCGCCGGTCACATATTTACGGTTACCGTGGTGACGCGTCCAGAGAGATACCCACTATGCCAGCCACCCAGATCTCGTCGCACCACGCGTGATAGCGTAGCTGTATCACTGCTGACATCGAATAGGAAAAACACATTTCTTAATTATTAATTAACTTAGATATTAATGCAATTAACTCATTCATCCTAGCTAATAAATGCGTGCGCACCTGTTGATTTCCATAAATCCTCTTCTCATTCCACGTTCTTGGTCTTCTAGAAACCGTAAGTGGTAATGCAACACTGACTGGCGGTAGATGTTGGTCGATTACGACATCCGAGCGTGGTAACGCAGGTCTGACACGTTGGTCTTTGTAGAAAATGCATGGACGCAATCAGAATGGCCAGATAACGATAGAGATATCGTATAAGAAATCCTCTGGATAGCGCACGAGCTTAAGGTGAGTTGGACAATGGTTTTACTCGCTACGGCCATGTTGTCGTCTGAAAAGGAAGAGCGGCATTTCAGCAGCTGAACGCTACTGGGAAACACCGCCATAATCGATCTGTCTCTGCTTCTCATAGAAGTTGACGATAACCTGGCGTCGTTTTTCAGTCATAGAGAGGAGCCTTTCTTCGAAGGGTTGATTCGACGCATCGTTTAGTTTGTCACAATTTAACATTTTAAAAAGCTCGAACGTCATTTCTGCACTGACTTTCGGAGGAACGTGGGCAGCTTCGTAGCCTTCGCCGCTCTCGTACTTGAACAGAACAATTACTTGAAGTGTGTGTTATATGCGCCAAATGAATTCGGACGGGTGTCTGGCGTCAAAGAACAGCGCGCCGATTGGCACCGTAGTTCACTGAGCAATGCATGAGAAAATGAAATTTACATTATCCAATTAGCCTCCTCTACTTATCAAGGTTTAAAACCAAACATCGATAGCAATAACAGTACTGATCTAACGATGAAACTTCTGAAACCACTACTACTGGATGATTGTTTACTTTTCGTTAAAAAAAATCGCAAGATTCATAGTTACATAAAAACGTCACAATCGTATACTGATGATCCTATAATGATATGTTTGCTCGCATAGCAGCTCCGAATTTACCGTCCACTGCGCATGATAAGAACTGATAATGATGGTGTGTAATATAACGTTTTGTGTTAGATAAATGATGACGAAAAGAGACCGGCGTTAAAAAAATTTTTACACTTCCGCTCGATCAAGCTTGTCATTAGTATACGTTTCTCGATCGATCTACATGTAACGATTAGGTATAGGGGATTAGCAAGTCTACATCGCAAACAAACTGTCAGCACCAAGTTATAGGCCTGTAAAATTATCCTAGTTTTTTTAATGCAGAAAAATTCTCGTCAGCAACTTCTTCACATTTATCTTTTCGGTCACTTATGCACCGTGCCTACGTAGAGAGAAAGCCAACTTCAGTTCTATTGTTATCGTTGCAATTATGTTATGCCGCATCTCTTCGTCGTATATTATCCATGTTTTCGAACTGTTGGACGAACATTAGAACCAAATAAATTCAACAGCTGACTATATATATATATATATATATATATATATTGGGGTTACTGCCTCTTGGAACAGCAGCAGTCTAACAAAGGAGGAGGAGTTACGCGCGATACCCAAAGCGAGTTGACTTTTAGGGATTCTGCCGCAAACTACTATTGTAGTATGGGCCAGACGCTTTTATGGATAAGTTTGTCTGCCGTCGATCCTCAATCAGGAATCGGGACTCCCTTGGCCGAACTGTTCAATCCGAATCAGTTGTCTCATTGAAGCAAGAGAGCAGATACGACGGGTAATACCGTGCCGTTACGTCCCGTGCCGCCGTCAGTCTACGTGGACCATCATATATTGGCGACACTTGAACGGCTCAGTTGATAAGTTCGTCACATTGCGGATGTGTTCCGCGTTCTGTTTTTCGCGAGGTAGAAATCACCTTCATTGATTGATAAACACTTACTCTAGGCTAGCACCGCTCAGTGTAATATATGTGCGTATATGTACTCGGATATGTGCATATCCACTCCTGTATATAGCAAATAGAAATGCTAATTACCTCTAAGGATTGGCAGGTAATGACGATATGTCGAGACACGACAGACCAATGAAATGGTAACGACTATGATGACGCATATGTTGGATAGCGTGATAAAAGCGGAAGAGGCATGAATTGCTGCTAAATAAATATAAAAATAATAGCTAGTTCGCTCAACTCTCGCCAGCTTTTCATCCTAACCGAAAATAAACAATTACGTATGATTCATAACGAGGGCAAGTGTTTTGCCGTAGCTCACATTAAATCGGAGAAATTGATTGAACTCTATTTTGACACTGCTGCCTCTCGGCTCTGCTATGTTTTAAAGCCAATACTCCTAAGTAAATAAAATTTGTCGATCCTCTCTTCTGTGTCGCACTAAGGAAAGCAGAGCTTTCATCGGTTATACCTTTGACCTATTTTGTTTCTCTTGAAATTAAGCAAACACGGTTCTCGAGTGTTAAACCTACTTGTATGAGTGCTGTTTTTTTGTCCTCAGAATAAGCGTAATGATAGCGCAGAAGATCACTTACCAACACAGGGGTTAGCGTCGCCAGCCGTGGCCCGAGCCCAAGGCCTGTCGAAATGGAATGGTTTACACTTTTCGCAATCCCTGCCGGCCGTATTGTGCCTACAATCGCAGATGCTTTCACCGTTCTCGTCCCGAGCACACTTTGCCGCGTGGCCATTGCATTTGCAACGGCCTCCAACGGCTAAGTCCGAGACGGCGTAGAAATACTGGCCGTCTTCAGAGGTGCCCCCTCCATTCGAGGCGCTTATCGGCTGAGTAGCTTGCGCTTGCATCGTATCATTCCCTCCCTCTTGATCGAATTCGTCATCGTCCTCGAGCGAGTTCTCTTGATAATTGATCAGTTTATTGAAGACAACCTTTATATCGGTTGCGGTGACCCAGTCCTGGAGGACTGGGCTTGTGTCGAAGTCATACGCCGATGGTCGACCTTCTAGTGTGCTAAATGCAATACGATTCTCCGTCGGAATACTAGCTGTATCCGTACATAAGGCTTCGTGTTCGTTGTCGTTTGTGATGTCGGCCCGATTGGGTCTGCCGTAGGTTTTTCGACAAGACGAAGAGTAGAACTGGAACGGCTGCCACGTCTTTCCATAGTCTGAACTCTTGTATAAGGCAAGCGAGTCTGGCTTAGGACCGCAGAAACTTAGCGACACATAAGTGAGTTCGTACTTTTTGTCCAGCGACAGGGTCAGCGTGACGTTCTGCGACGGACTGCTAAACGGTTCGGACATCCAACAGGTAAGGTTGCTAGGATTGTTTAGATCGGTAAGGTAGGAAGGAGGATGGCAAAGTTTCGCGCTTCCTTCGTCACAAATGTCACAAGTACGAATCAACTCGCCGCGCTTGTCGGCATTCGTCGAACAATGTCGAGTTGGTGGGTTCCCACATGTCGACGTCGAGATGACAGGTCGATTAAAGGCAGCGTTGACGAAGTCCGGAATACACCGTTTCGGATTACCCCGCTCGTCATAACACGGATCAATCGGGGCCTGTTCCGATTGGAACATCGACAAGAAGCTCGAGTCGTCTTCTTCTGACTCGAGTGGCTGGTACTTCCGATAGGTTCGACCGGCGGCCAAACCTATCAGGGTAACAGTTACCACAATGATACGCATTTCGCACACTGTCATTTGGTACGGGCGGGGTACCACCTGCACACGAAGCGATTAAGCACCACCTGGCACACCTAGAACCGCTCTTGTTCTATATTACACTAGCTGCAGAAGGAGGGCGCGTACTAGGCAATTTGTACAATGTAGGGCGCTTACTGTTCACATCGGATCATCATCCTCTAGGGTAGTCTTTTGACAAAACGATAAGTCACGTTGTTTTATCACTTTCTTTTTGACACTTTCTTTACACCGACACTTAATCCTTGTCACTTGGAGCACTTCCGCTATTTAAAGTTGCTCTTCTGAACAACAGCAGCAAAAACAATGATGATGTCAACTTTGTCCATTTTTGTCAGCCTGGCCCTATACGTGCACACGCTGCTGGTATGCTTTTGTCTAGCTATCTGTTTCTATAGATGGGTTTAGCACACGGGCGCAGCTTACGACCCGCAAGGTTTCAGGGACCAATACCCTCTTTGAAGACGCTTATCTAGAAGTATAAAACGAAGAGGAAACTTGATTTAGCTAGTTCATCATGCAGTCGATGTGAGGTCATATCTGTCTTTGTAGACAGTGGCTATACCGTACTCGTATCTTAGTGCACATACAATCATGGCGGTTTGGAGCGACGAACAGAAAAGGGGAGAAAGGCTAGAATCGTAGAGAAATCATTCCGATCCGAATAATGTTGTACACTGCTATCTACACTAGCATTACTTTTTATTATTATGATACCACTATACACTTTCTTAGTATTACGACGTGTTATTAGTACTTGCAACGATAGTGGCAGTAGTAACGGTTCCAGTAACTCATCTAGTAGTGGGTACGAGACTTAGGTTTGAGTATGTGTAGTGCTGCTAGGGTGGTACAAGTAAGCTTCCAACTTTGCCACCAAAAATTCTATGTTTTTTATTTTGCTTTGCAAGCCAGGCCGGACGATTCTGTGTGTCCGGCCGTCACGTCCAAGGGCAGCTATTCCGCCCTCCGTTAAGACCACTCTATTGCAAATGCAATCTGGAAACACAGTATAGAGTGTAAGGACGGCTATCCGCATACCTGAATTGTTGTGGCTGGCTGAAGGGGCGCGAATACGCTCCGAACGTGGGTTCGTAGAGGCGCTAGAGAGGTTCTACTACGGCCTGTATCAGGCGGCAACAGACGTTGCACCGATGACAGCCGTGGCTCGCGTGATTACGCCGAGAAAGAAAAGCTAATCCACGCCGGCCGCTCCACACGGTCGTTCCGTGCGTCCGTCCGACTGACTGACTGAGTAACGTGATGGACACGGAACAGTCTCTGAACGTCGACTCTTCAGTTGGCCGGCGGGCCTTTCTTCGACGCGCGGTTGATGAAACAAGGTACTGCCAGTAGTGCGCTTCTCAAACGGCAACGGCCTGCGATCACACGATGCTTCGATGGTTTAGCCGGCGCCGTCCTCGCCATTTGGGTGAGGGCGCCTCGCTCTGTTCGAGGGGAGGGAGCCAGAGCACGCGTGCGAAGAACGCTGCCGCTGCCAACAACAACAACAGCAGCAACAGCGAAATGAAGAAGGGAACAAAATGACGAAACATTGGTGGGCCTGCAGCGGCCTCGTCCGTCTCACGAGCGTCTCTCTGTCGATACTTTCTACGATATGAACCGGCGGGTGATAGGTGTAAAATTGACTGTTGCTGCTTCTGCCGCCAGCGCTTGGCATTGGGCACAAGTGGCGTTGAAGAGCACCCACGGAAGAAATACGAAAACTCTGCCCGTATTAGTTTCATCATTTTGCCATCTATATGCTGTTGTTGTCAAGCAACAGCTGCATTCATGTATGCACCAAGCTAAGGGATGAGCGCAGGGATTAGGATGTGGTTTACGAGGATAGTGGTTTAAGTGCTCACTGTAGAAGGCAAAGGGATGAAATAAATATCCAAGCTAGGCCAAAGCCTAGCTTGCCAACTCTAGGTATTGTGTTTTTTTGTTTAATTTGTACAACTACGTACATTTGGATAGAACTGTGGCACAAATTTCCGCAGTGTGTCAATACAGCCCCTGTGACAATGCAACAGGCCATCATCCGAACGGGTGCTTCGTACCACGCGTGCTCATGTATGAGCCCCCTCTGCGTAGTGCTCCATGTAAAAAAAATACTATTTAATTAGGAGCACCAATCTACTCGGAAACGTTTACAAAGATTTAGTCTACTTTGGCCTGCAACACTCATAGTCTGTTAATACCGCTCGCCAGTATGCGACGGCTCTTCTGCAACCCCAGTGATGGTCACCATAATCACACAGGTCGTCCGCCAATATATATAACGTGTAATAGTGTGCCAAAGAGCTTACTTGGCGTCATGTCTTATTCGTTTTTCAGCGTAAAAACGCAGGTTCGGATACACGATCATGCGGGTTATTTGGGCCCTTTTCAGTACGAGCTTTCGACTGATGAGGATTTTAGCGGTGATGGAATACCGCTACCCTCCTACATAGACCTCTTATGTAAAAAAGTGGATCAGAAGAGCAATTAAGAAATAACAACGAGAAACTACCCAAAAAAACGAAAGACCAAACGCACGCCACAATCAGACAGGCAAAAAATACCACCAACACTAATAAATATAATACATATTGATCCTTTCTGAGTTGTGTAGTAGCTACAGAAACAGCGTTTCTGATAGGCTTGTTAATTAACGATTTATATTTAACACGCGTATCCAAGCTGAGTGCTGCCTGAATGTCGGTTGCAAACATACATATTTTAAAAAAAGAATTATCTACAAAATTTTCGGAGTCAGTTATAATTAACTTAGACTTAAATGTGTTAGGCCATTTATAAAAGGCAATTTTTATAACTGCACAAGGGAAGTCCATTGTTCTGGGCTGATATGACATAGATAACCTGAGTGTGACCAATTTTTTTTATTAAGTTCTAAAGTCCTTCTGAACCTTGTTTGTCATACTAATGGATAATAACGTTACATTATTGTCTCTAAGGGTGTTTCGATTAGGTCATACTGAGTCGACTTATAAAGTAATGAATATTCTACACAGACATCGTTCTGTATAGAACATTCGTTACTTTATAAAAACGCCACACATAATTATTAGGCTAGATTCTAAAAGGGCAAATGTCTTCGAAACACAAGTAACGCTTTCATGCTGAAGAAGTTTTATAATGAAACTACGTAAGCATCGTTTATTTATTCCTAATATCCAACTGTCCCAAACAGGCTCTACTGCTGGGTTATCAGACCACTTGGCTATATAATTTGTGTAGACGTCCATGGACTAAAGGATGTTTCGGCAATTGGTTACTTTTTCGAAGTGGTCTGTTATGGACGTATATCTGAACAAAAGGTCACTAACTTTTTGCCTAGACGGTCACTGATCGATGAGGTTCAAGCCAAAGTCGATGTTGACGATCAAAGCTGTACATTGAGGATTCCCTACCGATAAAGCTAACTGCAAAGAGATCAAAGGTGTAGGACCAATAAATGAATAAGGAAGCGAATAGGTTAAGTTTACGATGCAAATTATATTAGATTTACTATTCGCTCTGCTGGCTGCCTAACATAATAAACCAACTTTGTGTCTACTGAGACACCAAAATAGCCTTCTTGCAAAACAAAAACGAATTTTCTATTCTAAAGCGATTGCCATATGTCACCTTTTCTATGGTTCTTCTTAACCGCTGACCACATTTACCCCATAATTGCATCTTCATTGAACTATTCAAAGAGAAACATGACCTTCACATCTAGGGAGTACAACGTAAGAAAGCGGTGGCGGCATAGAGCCAAAGACAATTTTACTATTTGTTCTATCTTCTTTAAAAGAATTCCATGAAGATATCCCTCGTGCGACCTCCTTAGAAAAGGAGCGCGTAAGTAAACGTTGCGGCTCTGACTTGTTCTGTACGCCCGCTTTATTCATAGAATAATTCCATTCTATTTCACAGCTACCGTATTTTTTCCGAAGCGTGAAACTCACAAAGACAATAGTCTTTTGACAGTTTGTCTGACTTGGGCCCTTTGTTTGTGTGGCTCAGTTGAGTAGTTACCATAGTACAGGTGTAACAAGAGACGGGTACTGAAATCCGTTATAGAACGCAGGAACTCACCTGCAATCCTGTAGATTTTCCGTAAGATCTCGCTAGCTCCTAGTTGACTGCCAACGAATCCGGAAAATATTTTGTCGTCCGCCGTCTACTCTTAAATGTGTTCGGGCTAAGTGTCATACATTGTTTCCTTGACAGCAAAACGCGGCTCAAGTGACGGCAGTAGCAGTAAAGAGATAGACCTTACCACCTCGTACAGGTTGCAATATCCAGACGAATATCTAGAACACACCGTAGAGATCCGGGGTAGCCTATATACGGCATACGCCGTCTAGCCTGGGCACGACGCTTTTAGGAATTCTGAGGGACCACGGTGCGGTGAAAGATATCAGGTCCAGCTTGCCCTTCCTACAATATGGTTTTGTCGTTGCTGACTTTCCAGTCCAGCAGTGAGGGCAGGATAGCAAAAAATAAGGACGGATAAGCAAGAGTTAGTTGTGCTGACGGGATTGGAGACTAGTTCTTCTGAATAGGTGAGACCCTACTCTTGACCCGTCCCCTACCCTGTCCCCTACCTCATAACTCTCTAGTCTTCGTTACCTCGCCACTCGAGGCAGGAATCAGAGGGAGCGGGCTGCTTGCTCCTTCTCGGTATGTGTACAGTTTTTGCCAAGCTGTTTTTCTCTGCACGACTGAGGTTGGACTACGATGGTTTAACAAAAGAAGCAAAAAAAGAGTTGCTCATACAGGTTTTCTCCTGGCTTGCTTGCTTGCCTTCTTGCCTCGGTGGCCTGGTTGCCCTGGCAAGCCAAACGGCGTGGACAAACATTTTACCCATCGAAGAGTCGGGAAGGAAAGCCGTCGGCCTGCTCCTCATGGAATTTGCTTAGGAAACTCTTAGTTTAGCGGGGACTCAATCGATGTTGTTGCTGGCTGACCCGAGAAAAGACTGGGCCTATGTAGCGGATGGCTGCATAGTTTCGTAAACGCTTTCTAACATTTTCGACCAGCCTACTAGCTGGCCATGAAATTAGAGAGTCCTTCAGCGACTACTCGAAGGACTAAGAGGATGAAACGACAGGACAGACGCAGCCCGCAATAATACAGATAAAACGAAGACATACCTGTATGCCAGCCATTAAAGAAACGACAACCGATGTGGTGTTCGTTGTCGTCGTCGTCGTCGACCTGTAACGAGGTAGGCTACAAGATACTTGTATTCACTCTGCTATGAGCCCATCGAGAATCTGTCTCGATCCAATGTGTAAAAGAAAAGGGAAGCGCAGTGCCGATAGCGTAGCTAGAAACTTGCAAATAGTTCGATATGAAAACGCTTAAAAATCAAACGTGCCTCTTTCATTCTCTAGACAAGCTACTTCTGTGTTTTCCATGCTTGTACATATATTACCTATGATGGCCTTCTGCCTATCCATCTCCAGTCTATGCCTC